GACCATGCAAATGTTTCAGCTAATCAAAGAGGGGAACTTTAGCTTTGAGAAGAAAGAAAAACAAGGGCATGTCAAGGCCTAAACCAAAGATGTATGTAAAATAATCTGAGCAGCTTGATTAGCCAGAGTGAGATTAGAAGTTGCATTATTGGCCTTTAAACATATGGTGTAGCATATTATATATCACCTATAATCTCTACTGCAGCAGGAGTACAGACAGTTTGTTTTCCACTAACTGTAAATAGAAATTACTTTAATCTTTCCTAAAATGTTTACGTGTAATTGAAGAAGTGTCTAATAACAAAAAAAAGCTGTAAAGATTAAGTTCTATAAACTAGAATTACACAACAAAGCACACTCAAGTATATTAAATTGATTAAAATGTAGATAGATTAATAATAATAAATTAAATTCAACTGTAAACAGGGAAAACAGGAGTCCTGAACAAAATACTTATATCTTTGTTACTTTGTTATTTTTCCTGTTGCATGTTTCCTAGGGTTTCTCTGTTGATAAACTTTAGTAATTTGTATCAAGATTTATGTTTTCAGAAGCGTGTAACCTTATCTAAACTGCACAAAACTGGTCAGTATATATAGTCAGTGTGGAGGCATAATTATGTATTCTTGTTCTCTAGTTATGAACAGCTTACCAATACTACCCAGTTTATTCTCAGCTCTTTTTAATATCATAGAACCAGGAAGATTCAAAAGGTTATTATTATGGTAGACACTCTACACGTATACCAAAGTAGGAAGAGAAGGAATGCAGTAGTTTCATCTTTTAAAATTATTCTTCCCTACTGAAAAGCCGGATCCTGTACTGTGTGTAGTTTCACACCTACATTTATTTTTGAAAGGAGGATCCTACAGAAAGATTCTCCATTAAACATTTAATTACACATCTTTCAATAAGCCAGAGAGACTTGTCTTATGGAACAGTTCCATTCTCAGATCTGTCACTTGAAATATGATGAGATTTTGGATTAATTGCTTAAAGGTGGTGGCTTGTTTCCTCTGTCTGTAACAAAGAAATAATTCCTACCTACCTTAAACCAGCTCTGAATATGACTAATATATGTGATTTTGTGACTCTTCTTAAAATCACTAAAAACTAAGGGAAAGATTTGTTGCAGTTTTCATTTTTGGTACCTGACTTTCAAAATAGAAGGAACTAGGAATAAAAATAGTGTGTCTTTGCTGGTTGTACTTGGTGAGATTGGTCAACACTTCTTGAAAATATCTGTACAGTTTTTTAAGGCTTCTGAAAAATGCAAAAGCTTATTGCAGGTTCAGACTACCTGTCCATTTGGCCATTAAGAATATATAAATTTGTGTGATTCCTATTATCAATTAGTTCACAGGAAAAATTGATGAGTGTTTACCTGGCAAGCCTCTTTACAGCTAAAGCTGAATTTTTATTGTACAACAAAAAAGTGGTTTTAAATATACAGCCTTAGTCTCCACTATTTCTCTATTAAATTGATCTGGGATAAACCCAGACTTTTTATTCTTCAAAGAAGCTCTGTTTTCATTATTTCATCCATGTTCATCTATCTAATTTCCAATATTGATGTTTTCATTCTGAGTCATAGCTTTTCTTTAATTTGTATATTCACATGCAGAAATAAAGCAATTTACAGTTGTTCGTGCCCGAAGTGCCATTTAGATGTGTTAAAAATTGTTCTTTAGATATCTGAAGTTTTTTTTTATCAAGATTTGCAAGCTAATGCAAAAAATGGGGGATAGCCTGCAACAAAAAAAAGAGAAACTTCAAAATATGATGGACCCTCCATCTGGATCCATTGTGGGGCCAACAGATTTATGTGTCCTTCAGAGGCTGTCCCACCCATTGTGTTTTGTAGGATTGCATACCCAGTCATCTTCATGGCAGTTAGTAGTTCAGTGTCTTTGAGGATGCCAAACAACAAATAGGTTGCAGTTATAAATCATGTTTCACTTTGTCACTTTAATTTTTCATGAGAGGTTTAACCAAGAATTTTGGGGAGTCTGTGGCCTGCTCAAAGGAACAATCCTATCACTTCACTGGGTCTCTCTTCCTGAACTGAGTCTAGATACATTGAGAGATTTCTATGAACAAGAGTCAGAGATTGCCCCTCTGCTACACTTTTGTAAAATTAGATCAGAAATCTTGGAAAACATAGACATTAAATCAAAGAAATGTACCGAATGCATATAATTGGTCATAAAATAGCAGGTTTCAGATAGTCTTCCAGCCCAGATAGCACAGTAGCATTATGCCAGTAAGAAATAAAGTACAGTCTGGTGTATCACTGAAGGCTGTGAAATGTACCAATTTATATTACCTAATGACAATTAGAGAAATCTATTTGCTTAATGTGTTCTGCTGATGTAAATTTCAAGCAGTTTTCAAAATGCCTTGTCCTTTATCTGTGGGAAAGAATATATGTATCAGGTATGATACACACATATGTATCAATCAATGAAATTCTTATAAAGGCAATATTATCTACATAAATCTGTATTTTTAATAATGGTCTTGACTGCCAGTTTTTTTCATGCTTCTGTCTATGATCCTGAAAAACAGGTATGTTAATTCTCTACCTTATACAGTTCAACTGTTGAAAATTACAGGAAAAACAAATTTTTTCAGAAAATCCATTAAAATGCATTGCAAAGCAGGCATGTCCCCATGTATGAGAGCATGTCCACAGTTAGGTAAATTCAGAGCAGATACTACAAAAGCTAACACAAATATGCCTGGTGGAGGGGAGTCTGTATTTCAGACTGAGGAACAGAGGACTCTTGTGGTACTATGAGTCTTGTTAAACTCCTTACAGGCTGGAGCCTTTAGCGCAGAGTATGAACAAATCAGTGCTAGTTTCAGAGTTAGGTAGATTTTCACTCAGTTTAGATCAAAATATTCCTATTTTGCTACATATTATAATAGTAAGCATGTTAGGATTTGTAAAGTTCTTGCGGGGTTTAAAGGTTAAAGTTAATAGTTTAATTGTGAAAGCGTCCATCTTCCTGTCTGCCTTCTCATACCTGTGTGACCTGTGGTAGTTGAATAGCATCACTCAGATAAAATTGTTGCAAGCAGACGAATTCAGATCTCAAGTAAACAGAGGAAATTCTTGGTGACTTTCAAGGAAATTGAATAGTGACTCTAGTCAGTGAATTTCATTCTTTGCTCATGCATCCCAAAGTTGTAAAAATCTGTTTGTCTTGCCTTCAGTACTCGCTAAACTCAAAATAAAACATTATTGTATAGGTACGTGGTGTTTCCAGTGCTACAAAACCAGATGTTACAAAGCGTAACAACCAAAATTAATCATCTGACATTTAGGTGTCTACTCAGAGTGAGTCTGCACTCCATGGAGGGAGACAGGCACATCCACAGTGTGGGCTTAGTTCCATGTTAAAATAAATCCCTAAAATAAATCCGATATACTACCCTCAGGATTTCTTTATTCTGTTAATAATGGAAGGAGTACAGGGATAGATGAGCTTAAATTCCTCCCCACAAGTTTCTGATTGGAAATCTGGTTTGTCTCTTCCATTTGTACTTTAGAGCAAAACCTTTAGAATTTTTATTCTTAAAATTCATTTGATGTTTGCCAAAAGATTATCAGACTTTTATTAAAGGCTGGTATGTTTACTTTCAGACTCTTAATTAGTCAGTGATTTAAGACCGTAGTTTATGCTGTGATGAATTGGGTGAAAGTGGTATTCTGTGTAATATTATATGAGGTAATTTCTTTTAAAAGTAAATTTCAGTGGATTTGTGTTTCTTTTTTCCTCTGTTTCATTTATGTAAAGTCTTTTGGGATAGATTCAAGTAATAGAAACATTAGAAGAGTTTTTCCTCCTAAAATTGGCTTATTATTGAATTTATTATTAATAATATTATTTTCGCTTATTTACAGAAGACTGGAATGTCCCACAACATCTCACAAAGCAGTATTTATATGCCAACTTGCTTTTATATACAGAAAATGTATTTGAATTGTGCTAGACAAGCGAGTGGCTGCTTTTTTATGGGTGGAAAGCCTGGCTTGCTGACAGCTGTTTGACTGTGTCCTGGGTAGCTGGAGCAATGGTCTCACGTTGTGTGCCTGCCACAGGCTCTTCCATAGGGCTTTTCTCTCCCACATACACAATCAGACATACTGGCTGTGTCTTTCCCACTCACGTGTATATTGCTGAGGTGGGTGTGTGGCTGTTTATGTATTTGCAGACACTTGATCTCACTGTATAACAAGTGGAAAATAAAGCCATGTCCAAAATAGCACCTACACAAAAATTCATTTTTAGAGTTTAGTGGAAAAACTAATTATCTAATGCCGAGGTTTCCCAGCTTTCACTTTTCAGTTAGGAATGCTGGGGACACGATTCTCTCTGCAGAGACCAGGTGACCGAGGTGGCAGTCCTTGCTGTGTACTCTGCTATGTCCATGATGTTTTTATTCCTGTATAAATCAGATGTTCTTAAAAGACTAGCTGAGCAAGAATTTTTTTCTTCTACTGAAATGATTTATTATGCAAAAAAAAATTTAGGCTAAGTTTCTTTATTGTGG